AGTCAGGCAGGCCTAGACATGATGGAAAAATGCAGAGAGAGAAACCTCAGTGAGATCTATAAGGGGAAATACAGCCTGTTCCACTGCCTCACAATCCTCTGGATGGAGAATTTCTTCCTTATATCTCATCCAAATCTACCCTCTTTTAGTTTAAAGCTGTTACTCCTTGTCCTATCACTATGCCTCCTGATAAGGAGTCCACCTCCTGCTTTCCTGTAGGCTCCCTTTAGGTACTGGAAGGCCGCTGTAAGGTCTCCTGGTAGCCTTCTCTTCTCCAGGCTGAACAACCCCAACTCCCTCAGCTAGTCTTCACAGGAGAGGAGCTCCAGCCTTCCAATAATCCTCAGGGCTCTCCTCTGGACTTGTTCTAATGCTTTCATGCCCTTCTAGTGCTGGGGCCCCAGAGCTGAACGCAGCGCTCCAGGTGGGGTCTCATGAGAGCAGAGCACAGGGGGTGAACCACCTTCCTCGACCTGCTGGCTATGCTGCTTTTAATGAAGCCCAGGATACGGTTGGCTTTCAGAGCTGCAAGCACACATTACTGGCAAAGGAGTTGAACTTCATCTTTTTGCATTTTTCCCTTTTCTGTGGCAGTGAACTTTGCTTGTTCTGGTATCTGTTGTCACTAACGGTCTTTCTTTAGGTTCTCTCCCCCCCATCCGCCCCCCCCTTTTAGTATCATAGAGAGCAGTGGTTTTTTAGTTCAGATAATGAACTCTGTATCAGTTTTATTCCATTAGTGTATCAGGTCTCTTTCATCTTAGAACAGCTTCAAGTGGAATTTTGGGAGGTGTTAAATAGAAATGGTAAGTAAAGCCTATATTTGGGTCAAAATTCATCCTTGCAGGTATCTATCATTTCACTAGCAATGCAGCCTTGTTACCAGAATCCATTGGGAACACATACCCTTCTAACCTAAATAAATCTGCTTTCTCTTAGCAGCATTTTGTTAACAGATGTAGTTGAGAGACTGAACTTTGCAGATTGTGTATCAGAATTGGGATGTTTCAGCTAAATTCAATAAATGTTAACAGCAGTTAACTAACTGCACAGAAAATATATCCTGAAATTGTGAGGAAATGAAGTTACCATTTATGGTTCTGCCTTTTTTTTTTTCCCATGGACTTGTTGATATTTAAAAAGAGAAAGTGATGCCATTTGACTTCAATTTAATTATTCAAATCCACATATCTAAACCTTGTAGTAGGTGGTTGCAAAAAAAGGCAGCATACACGTTTGAAAGCAGTTATCATCAAGCAGACTCACATTAAAATTTTATTTTTTCAAAATAACTCTCTTTTTCAAAACTGTATTGGTTGAATAAACATTAAACAAACAGGTTGAAAAAATTGAAAATTCATGTTAAAATTGCTCCAGGCTGATGTAAATTATATGTCCAGCACTTAAGCACTTACTCTGTTCTCATTGACCTTGACAGCAATTACAAAGGTCATATTTCTCTATGGGGACCTGGAGTCTGAACAATTTATCCACTATACTGGAAGCAGAGAAACTTTACTTGTACCCACACACAACCAGGAGTCTTCCTTTTAAAAGCAAAACTTTCTGTGACCATTGCAAATAAAACCATTTTATGTATATTGAGTTCTTTCAAAGAAAATGCTTTTCAGTCCTTTTTTTCTTCCTTTTTTTTTTTTTTTTTTCTCCTTCTTCTTTTTGAAGTGTGTTCCAGGAGTAGTCTTCAGTTGCCTGTCACGTCATGGGCAGTACTCGTTAGTGTGCTGAGGGAAAATAAAAAGCTACGCAGGTAACTGGTCCTCTGGTCCTACTGAAGAGTGGACAAGAAGTATTCCTAGAACAGTAGCAACACTGTTTCATGGCTGCTTTTAGGCAGGTATGGTTGTAGTTCAGTAAGTGTTTCTTTAATATGGAACCATTAACGGTAATGTATGGTAAAGCAACTGTAGGAATAACCAGGACTTATGGTTTTGTATTTTAACTATATATGCAATTTGTGTTGTGGAAGATACGCAGATTGGTTATATAAAGACTGATTTAAAATAATAAGCTTTTACCTACCCCCTCAAACTCAGTGTAATTTGCATGGACTATATACCTATTAAGTATTTATGAAATTTAGACACTGTTTTTCAGTATTGGTTTTGATAATATTGATTCTCCTTTTGTCTTTTACTCCTTCCCTATTTTAATTTTTAATTGAAATAAATTATTTTATTCTGTCCTTTTTGCTCCAAAAGTATAATGGTAATAAATTGTTACGTGCTTTAGAAAGGCCACTTCCAACTTGTTTTTGTGGAAGAACAGTTTTGGATTGCTTTGAATGCTGAAGTAAGATTTTTTTCTTTAGATCAGGTGAAAACAAATACAACTTCACTTTTCCTTCAACTGTTGTAATCAGAGTATCTCCATTGCCAAGGGGGAATAGCTACCCTGTACAGTTTCCATAGCAGCTAGTTTAACCAGTAAAGATTTTTTTCAGTGTGGTGTGTCTAATTGTAGAAGGTGAAGTTCAAAAGGCATGAAGAGGACTTCCTCCCTCTTTCTACAGGGCCCTTTGTATAATTTCTTTCTTGAGAAACGTCCAGACTTTTACTTACAAATGGATTGAAGGCTGCAGGCAGTTCAATCTTACTGGCTGTTGGGACATTTTTGAACATTCTATCAAGACAGTTTTAGCTCGTGTTGAACATCTTTCACCAGTCCTCTGCACTGACTAGGTTTTCTGCTGTATCATATAGCTTTTTTTTCAACAATTTATTTGCCTTTCTTTTTGTCTTTTTTTTTTTTTTTTTTTTTTTTTTTTTTTTAATAAAAAGCACAAATAGGGGAAATGAAAATCTTTTCCTTTGGGATACTGTCTTTATGTCAACTGCAGTTCAGATAAGGAAGAGCCTCATGTATTCAGAAAATGATTGGGGGTTCTTTCTTAAATTAAGTTTTCCTGCTTAGAAATGGTAACCTCTAGGAAATACAGGAGATCAACAGATAATTCCCACAATTAAGCAGTTCAGATCCTCTTTATTTTCTGGGATTCTTCATGAAGATGTTAACTGTGATGATTAGTTTCAGAGAGTTATCTGATGACAGCAAGGATTGAGCTACCAACTCTGAAGTTTTTCACTGCGTTTTATACAATTTATGTAGCACTAGCAACTCATAATGGATTTCTGCAGATACCCTGCAGACATGAGGATCATAGTGCCATTAGCATCCCCATGGTTTATTCATGACACACAGATATTTTAGTTTGTCAAGGAGTATCAAATGGATACCAGACGTTTTTTTGCCATCACAAAGTAATTTTGGTTGGCAGGTTAAACTATAGTACCTAATAACTTTAGGGTTTTAATTTCTTTTATGTTGACCTGCCTAGGAAATAACATGTATGTTCTTTCATGAAAAAGAAGATGTGAGCTAACACTTCCTAACTAACTTTGTGTTGGAGAATGACTGTAAGTGACAGATTCTTAGATATTTAGGATAGTAAAATTATTCTACAACTCATGTTCTGTATGGCATAGCATCCAAAAGAGATCATTTAAAGTCTGCTTCATCTTAGTGTTTTAGACTGAAAAAAACTCATTATCTTGTAAATATTTCAGTAGTTTGTACAAAGTTAATATAGTTCATGTATTTTTTATGACTCATAGTAGAATAAATGTTTACCTAGGGTTTCATTCAGATTTAGTATCATTTTAGTATAAACTGTTAAGCTCTTATTATATAAGGTCAATATTTAAGAATTGGATTTAGATATTTAATTTTACAAGATACATAGTTTTACTAAATATAAAAATATTCCTTCGGTGTATTTTTTTTTCACTTCTAAATTGAGTACAAGTTTATTGTCCCTTGGAAGAAAAAGAGCCACCTTTATTTGGGACAGGCTTTGTCCACTGTACTTTTCATAGGTTACAACCAAGTGCTTTTTGACAGCTCAAGCATGTCTTACGTAACCAAAACATTTTAGAGCTTTAGAGCTTGAATTCAGTAAAATGTTAGAACTTTGACTGAACATAGACTTTTTAGGTATTCACCTTCTATACTGAATTTATGTAGTCCTCCATTATTTTTAAATATTGGTAGAGTATTGTTTAAATTTCCAGATATGGTAAGTATGAGGTCCAAGTTAAAAATAAAAAGTTGCCAAAATGTCCAGTAGCAGGGAAAGGAAGCAAGCTATCTATAGCAAATTGATTCTGTCACTGTCATAAGCAAATCGCCCAGTCCCTAAATGTTGTCTTTTGTTCTGCTCCATTGGCTGTGAACAACTCTAACCTTGATTCTGAAGATTTATTACTACAGAGAAGTTTTGTGGCAATAGCCTTTTGATCTCCTAGATCAAGATTGAATTATAATGTATACCAGACTGTTTTGAGTCTGGAGTTTTCAGCTTCAGCGTTGTTTTTAAGAAACTACTGTCAACATATCTTTATGTAAAAATGCTTTAAACTTTGTAGAAATTGCTCTAGTCTTCAAGCAGGCTTAAGATACGGTTTTGTAAAACCAACAGTTCACTGAATATTTACTCCTCATTGATAATGCATAACAAGACATTAGTTTTTAGGTTAGACATTCATAAAATTTCAAATGTTAATAGTTACAGACAAACAACTTTGTTATAGCTTTGCAAGCATATTTTCCGTGTTTTATTTTTATGGGATTATTTTCATTTACATGACAGATGGGTATGTTGGCTGGAAATTCTGTATCAAGTAGTATACAAAAATATGTGGCAATGTACAGTGCCAGAATGATAGCTAGTGTTTGGCATAATGCTTATGACAGTATGTTTCAATCATATGCAGACTTAATTCTCTTCAGATCTCACCGTTGAACTGGATAAGTCTAAATGAGGTCTGCATGTTTTTTGCCCTTTTTGTCATAGAACAAACTAAATGATAAATAGCACACAAGAGCAAAGTGACTGATAACATGGCACTGAAAATATCTTTTGCAAATGTGGGTGCTGATGGGACTTTTTCCTCTTTGCTTCTTTTTGTTACACCTTGTTTTAGGACTGATCAAGTGCTTGACTCAGATTGCCATTTGGAACATAAGCAAGCAGCGTCCAGATTTCACCATGAAGACAGGTATTTGACGTCTTATGTACCTATGAGAGAGCCTCCGTTATTTTAGAATAGATGCAGCATGCTATCCCAATCTCTGCCATAATGGTAATTTTCTTTACTTGCTTGATATAGCAGGCTTAGAACGCTGCTTCTTGTTGAGCAGACTTCTGCAATTTTACCCAAAGGTTATTAGTGAAGTTGGTTTGAATGGTCTTTCCTATAGTTTCTGGGTTTACGTGGTTATGTTTGGAAATTTTCTTGCTAGGACATTATAATTTGTCTTCAGAAAGACAAATGTATTTAGTTATTTAGAAAGCTAGGAGAGACTCTAGAGTAAAAGAGAAAGGAAAAAAAAACAAAAACAGTTACAATTTAAAAAAAAAAATTATATAGGATGCTAAATGGAGAAGAAAGAACCTTTTGTAGAGAAAAGGAGTCTTGTGCAAACTTTAATAGAGAGTAAAAACAAATTTGAACTACCTGAAGGAAGGGTCTAACATTCAGATTCATGTTTACAGTTTTTTTATCATGGCATTATTCATTTGCCTCTATTGTGAAATTCATGGCTTGTTATCCGTTTCTACCTAATTATGCATCAGTTTTGATGGCAATGAAGTATGAGGGGATCTCTCTCTCTTCAATGCCTCATTTAACAAATATTTCTCATGAAGCTTAATATAAAATTTACTGTAATATAAAAATTCCATCTTTTTTGTAGTTTGGTTCATTTGCTTTGCAAAGAAGACATAAAACATCTTTTTAACAAACTACACTTTTCTCAAAACATTTTTAGTTATTATCTCTTCCCCAGTTGATTTTTTTCCATGAAAATCCCTTTCTAAAATTACGTGCCTGAACAACAAACCAAACAAAACAAAAAAGTTTCCTAGAGTATGTACAGAACTTTTTTCAGACACTCAGGGAGCTTTTTTCTTCGTTTTTATATTATGATGAAAAAGATAAAATATTTTTTTATGTTAAGCCAGAATAAAACATGCATAAATCAATTGGTGAAAGGTTTCTCATCTTTTTTACAAGTGATTAGCACTTCATAATCTTGGTGCTCTGTTAAGAGCAATATTAATAAACATGTCCTGTTTTTATATAAGATTATTCAAGAATAGCTGGATCTGGTGTTGGAAGAGCCAGATTTCAGAATTGGATCAGCTCACACTGGATATAGCTCTTCACTGTGTCTTTGAAGTTATCCAGGGAAAATAGGAAGACATTATAACAGGAAAAACAAAAAATAAAAAACCAAAACCAAAACAAAAAACACACACACAAAAAACAAACAAAAAACAGATTTTTGTCATTTGGTTTTAGCTATCTTTTGTCATTTGGTTTTAGCTATCTTGGTGCCTTTCCCTTTGTAGTCAGGGGAAGCGGTGAGCCATGCCATCCTAAAATTGGTGCTCTGCATAGGCAGAATGAATTTGCCTCTGGAATGATGGACTGCATAAAAAGGTGGAATGGAGGTCATAGAATACTGACTTTTTGCCTGATTCAGGTATCAGAGGTGAAACCCACTTTGAACGTTTTTAGGTTCAGTGACACTTTCACTTTGTTGTTTTTATAAGAAAGATGTTAGTCTTGATGAAATTGTTTACTTTATATCATCTGAAAACAATATTCTATCCTATTTTTTTCCTCTTTTATTTTCATGTTTTTCATTTTCTCTTGATTTATACCTCTTCATTTTTCCAGCGGAAGGAATAGTGGCAATAGCAAATGCATATTTACACGTACTCAAATCTACCTATGTAGAAATAGAATGTAAAGTAAATATTTGGACATATTTCATACATCAAGAGTGCATAATTTCATTCGTGATGTAATTCATATTGGTTGTATATTCCAGCTTAGTGGCTCATATTCAACCTTGAAATGTAGACATCTCCATTGTGTTCAAAACTTTATTGCAAGCCTTAACTGATCTTGTAGGTACATTCATGCTATGGTATTACATTTACATTATCAATTACTGGCTGGCATGAAGTGTTTCTTCAAGTGATTAGATATTCATATACTGATTCCATTGTCAGGAATGAGTTATTCCAAGAGAAGACAGAAAAAAGTGTATACAGTACTACCTTGATCCATAAGTGGTATTGTGTCTAATAAAGCTGGTAGTATATGGCTTCTATTATTTGAACTGAGTAAATCAGGGAGCATTGTTACCTACCACCCTTTGTTCATGCTTTTTGTGCTGTTTGGGATTTTAGCTTGGTAACCAGGATATTGACAACAGCTTAAAATACACCACACATCTGTTTGCAATTGCCTAATTTTGATGGTGGATTTCCTGAAGAGTTATGGTAATATAAAGAATTGGGAAAGGATTAAAAGATTGTTGAAATTTCCAGCTAGACTTCTCTTACTGTGTTTTCTTTTGGATTCATGCAATCACTTGCATTAAGGTCAGCTGTTTTTAAAGTACTCACAGGAACAGATTTTTTGAGTTATGAGTCTTTTGTGATGACTTTAAATGTCAATAACCCACTTGTTTAGCATTAAATGATCAACATATACAAAGATTCCCAGGCTAGCTAACTAACTAGAACACAGAAATGGATTAGCTTTTTTGACTGCAGAACAAATAATGTAACAACAGCATACAATTAATTACACATTTCAGCACTATAAACATGAAGAGATGTAGCTAATAGATTGCAGGACTGCTTATTGACTTAATGAACTTATCAGGAGCGTTGACACCTATGGACCAGTAAAATGGTGAACTGAAGGTTATCTACTTTCTCTCAATCTCTGGTCATTTACTTAGCAGCACAGACATCACCTGTCTACAGCTGTTGCTACTGGATACTGCTTTTCTATGACATGTCTAGGATAGGTGTAGTTTTTTTATTATTATTTTGTTGGTTTGTATTTTTGTCTTTTTTCCTCCAAGAGAAAGGCTGGAAAACAATCCTGTTGACCTTTTTTCAAGTTGTTGATCAGATCTGATTGTATGTACTAGGATAACAGCTATGATAATGATCTTGTCACTTGTGGAGGGATTCTCTGCTCTATGTAATACTAGCAGGCTCAAAGACTTTGTAGAATTTCTTTATGGCCAATAAGAAAATAACAAAAAAATATTAGAGGGAATCCTCTATCCATGCAAGTACAAGTGTTGTGAATTTGCCCTAGTATTCCTTTTTCAGGAACTTTTTCCAGTGTCTGTTGCTGGCATGCCCCCTTACTTCCTCTCCTCACCTCCCCGGTCCCCCGCCACCCCATCCTCATTGTTGTGTAACTTTCCCCTTCCTGAGGAACTTTTTATTTTCTTTTCCAGAATATTAATACTTGTTTCCTTGTCTCATTTCTGCCTCCTTGCTTATATTCTTTCCATTTTCCTGAGACCTTTAAATTCATTCTCTTGTCAAAATTAGCTTCCCATTTTTCCCCTGTTTTTGATGAACCCCAAATCATTTGTATTATCCATCACCTGAAACCCACAGCCATATATTCTATTTAATAATGACCTGTGATGGTATAGTTTGGGACTAGAAGGAAGAGTCAGTTTGTTGGGTTAGTCAAGGGAATTAGGAAAGTTCAAAAACTGTAGCTTCTTTGTCAAAGGAGAATGAATGAGAGAGGCCTCCTATTGTTCTTTGTTTACTCAGGTGGTATGTACTTTCCACTTTTCCACATCTTTTTGTCTCACTGGTGGAAAAGGTATCATGGACTGTATTCATGAGCAGCAAGGTAAACACGTAAAAAAGAATTTGCCAATTAGATACAAAACTGCTGTATCCTGTCTTGAGATATAAGTGAATATAAAAGAGTATTCCTAGTTAAATGATAGAGATCTGTAACCACTCTCTCAAAATATGTATTGTATAAACCGCTGGAGGTACTTGACCAGTAAAAAAGAGCAACATATGTGCTAATTTCTTTCCAGCTGCCATGTTGCAAAGCATGTCAGAAAATAAGTCTTGTACCAGACTAACTCCTGGAAAAGTAGTAGTTAATTTTAAAAAGTTAAAAATCCAGAAATTCAGCATTGCAAAAAGTTTAAGGGAATATTTTTTTTTGTAATGGCAGAAGATTCATTAAATTATGCTGTAGCATAAACTTAAAAAATTAATGTGTATGAAATGATAGACTCAGATTTAAGTCATGTAAAATGTGAAGCATATCTTTTAAATTTTAGTGGCAAGCATATATCTTTATTAAAATAACTGATGGTTGTGTTGGTGATTCTAGTAAATGAATTACCTATTTTGCATTGTAGTTGTTGAAAGTTCCTAAAGTGGCTGCCCCAGTATAAGCATAAACAAGGTAACCAACATCATTCTTAAGGAGTACTGGAAAGCACAAGTATTAGCTTCCTTTACTCTTTAATACAATTTTCTAGATAAACTGCATTTTTAAAAAACAAAGATGTTTATTTTGGGAGCATGCCATTATACATGCAGTTTTGAAAACATTGTCCCTGGTGCTGAGGAAGCTCCAGATAAGTGCATTTTTTTCCACCAGTATTCGTGTCTGTTAAAATGCTGTGTGTGATGGCCACCAGATGGGCTATACCTTTTTAAAAATGCTTCTTACTGCAGTAAAGGTAATGGCATCTTATAACCTGTTTATGAAATATCCAGTTTTACCTGCTCTTTAACATCATGCTGCGCTAATTGAATGACTTCCATTAGCATCTTTGAGAATTTGGTGAAAGTTCTCTCCAGTGTGATCCATTCAGTATATGTTGTAACCCTCTATTCAACGTTTGGAGAAAGTGAAGTTTCTTATCTATGGCTTTAGCAAAAGGCTTCCAAGGCTTCCAAAACAATGCTTCATGCAGTAGCATTCATAATATTGTTATTACCTAGTTTTCTAAGTTCTTCTCTTCCATATGACACTCTCACCATGTGACAGAAAGGTGGACTTCGGAAAAGTGATGGGGAGGGACCACAATGCTGATCTGCAGCAAAAGGTCTGCTTTTCTTAGTAAGTTTCCTTTGAGTGCTCAGCCCAAGTTGATGAAGCCACGATGCAAGCTGACATGCAATGCTGCAGCC